AGTCCTAAGCGGGCTCAGGGCATACACGCAGGCGACTGAAAACGACTAATTGTATAATAATCTGATTGCCTGTTTGGCTCCGAGCAGTGTGGGCGATTTGAGATGTCTCTGTTGTTGCCAGTGAATCGCTGTAACCGTCCAGATTCCCTGCCAAAGTAGAATATATCTGATTGTAAAAGTACATTTGTGACTAGATGTTTCTGGCACTGTAATAAAAGATGTTTTGTTTATGCGTAACGATTATGCAGGGTTATTAATTTACGGTTTTTTAACGCATTTGTCGTGGTTATCTTCAGAAACGGGAACGTGTTGTGATTACTGGAAAGATATGTTGGGGGGGGGGGGGCAAAGGAAGACAGTGCGAGACGATTCTGGGCAGCTTTTTGTCTTGGTATGGATGGGTATCAATACTTGAACTGATACATGCTATTGAAGATCGCAGATTGTGGAGAGGCATGATCGCCCTGCCTGTCGATAGGTGGCCTGGGGGTGGGGGGGGGGGAACGATGAAGTAGGCTACAATTTCTGGAAAACGAGGTAGAGGCTGACCTCTGCTAAAGCGAACACAAAATATTAATGATGCATTTGCTGTGAAAGCATACAGGGCTGGATAATTGGCTAGACAAAAGACTTCCCGTTTTACTGTGACGAGATAGACGTTCTGTAAAGAACCTGTGGATTAATGATGTATTTGCCCAAAGTCACAAAGTTTTGAATTTTGACTAACGGATAGTAGCCCATAAGTGCTAACTTCTTCTTCTAACTCAAGTCTGAGTCCGAAGAAGCTCAGCACAGTGCACAGGCTCTGCAGCATCGGCGAGGATCCTGGAATACTTTGGGTAGACTTTTAACTCCAAATTTTTGCCCGGGCAGCGCCTTTAGGCTACTCTGTTTCGATTTCTAACTGACAAGGGATTCTTTTACGTGCGCAACACTGCACACGGGCGTCTGATCTGACTACCCAGAGACCAGGGGAAATTACTAGAAGTCCAAATCCACATGAAACAAATCCCAGCCTTTACCGGGGATTGAACCCGGAACCTATGGCACTCGAGGCGGACACCATGCCTTGAGACCTCGCAACTCCTTTGTCTAAACTCAAGGCAATGTTACCCCCGTTGTGAATGTGAACAAAGAAGACATTAACAATAGATTGCATTATATATTGCCTGGTTACAGATTTGTTTGTTTGCTTCATTTTCATCAGTTGTTACCGCAGTAGGAACCTGACCTATGAGTGAATGTTGAATTAAGAATCGACATCGCAGCACTCGGGACACTCTCATAAGTGCCCCGTCCCCATCTTTAGCAGCAAGCGAAGAGTTCCTATTCTTATGGCACAAGTAAACGTCTGTTTGTATATCCGTCTCATCCTTTCCCTTGAGTGTTGAGCGTCGGCCAGATTCCCTGGTAACTCCTAGCAGCACCATTCTCCTGAGACCGTAATGATCTATCTGCGCCTCCGCACTGTTCACTCGTTCCCAAAGGAACTTGACCAAATGCAAGGAAATATGCGAGGCAATAAGCTGTGTTACCAAGAGTGATATACGGAAGGTGATTACAGATTAATCATGGATTAGTGAAAACAATTGTTTGGAATCCGTGAAGATGTAGTTTTTAGAGATAAATAATGAGATTATACTAGAGAGATAAAAAGAATAATAAAGATGTTTTGAAAGAAACTGACTCAAGAAGAGAACTGATCGCCCACATTACAAGGAGACAATCGACATTCTTTAGTCATGCGATGAGATGGAGAAAACTGGACCACATCGTGACGGCGGGGAAAGTTGGGGTTAAAAGAGGAAGATGGAGACTGAGAGAACAGATGCTGGACAGTTTGACATCATGGCATGGAGGATCATCTGTGTCAGAGTTTATTGAAAGTATCAGAGACAGAAGGTTGTGGATAGACATGATTACCAACACCACACAGCATGGACTATTTAAACAGAAGAAAGTGTTGTACATGTATGTCTATGTGTGTGTGTGTGGTTATGTTTAATGCATGCTGACCCTCTCCTCAATAGCCCTCACTAGATGCTCGAGTGTCGCTTCAAGCCTCTACTTTCTTAACCAACATAATTGGCACAAAGAAACCTGTCCACAATTATAACTAATACTGCTCGGAGTAGGTTGAACGTTGTATATATTTTTTGTGGGGGGGGGGGGGGGGTTGTTTTACATAAATGGATGAAAGATCGATGGCTGTTTTGTGTCTCTGTGTGTGTGAGTGTGTGTGTATGTGTGTACGAATGGTTTGAAAAGAAAAACTGGTACTTTATCTGTTGAGATCTAGAGTGTGAGTACATTGTCGTCTTAGATATCCGTGTCTTGTCTTTGGCGTTATCGCAGTTTGATTTCTGCCATGTTTGATCTGTTTACAAGCGTGAGTGGCCCATGTAGCTTATGGAGAGATGCTGGCTCGGAACATTTAACTTTAAATCTTGCCCGGCTCTCTAGCGTAGTTGGCTAAACCGGATTGCGCGGAGACCTGGTGACGAACTCCTTGTGGTCGGGGTTCAATCCCGAGGGTAGGCAGGAAAGCCACATTTTCTCCCAGATTTACGGTATTTACAATGAAATCAAAGCCGCAAGGTTGTGATATCCATAATAACCAGCCTAAGGGTTAACAACTCTTGGCTTCTGGATACTAAAACAAACAAACAAACTTTAAATCTTCGGTGTTAGATAACTTGTGGGCTCGGTGTTAGTGTATGTGTGTGTGTGTTTGTGTGTGTGCGCGCGTGCGTGTGTGTGTGCAGGGAGAAAGATTGATGTACCGCTCACACCCCTTCATGCATCGTCAAGTTTTGTAGCGCAGTTTGCACCACTTGTTTTATTAACTCTTCTACTTTGTGATGTTTTTGTTTTAATTTCTTCATAGTCAGCCTGTGGCTAAGTCGATACGAACGCTTCATAATGCCGAGATGCCGGGTTCGATCCCAGCTGCGGGCCATGCGCCTTGCGTTGATTTCGACAGTGGTATCAAGAAAGCCGACCATCGAAAAAGCAATGGCAAACTACTGGACGTTAATTTGCCAGGGGCCGCTGGGTTGGTTCTGCAACGTCCTGTAAAGGATACGCAACTAACCTTAACCATATCCAAACATCTGTTATTTAAATTAGCAACAACTTCTCAAATAAACGAGTTAAAATAACAATGTTTGAGACTTAACGGCCATAATTTATTAGGAATCGCCGAGGGTGTAGCTCACTAGGTTAACATACATTTAATTATTACTTTTAGAATACAGAAGTAGGACAATAGTCATTACAGAAAGTGTTAAAAGCAATGTGTGCCTTCATGCTGCATTATTGGAATTTACTTTACTAAGCCACCGTTTTGTTTGTATTGTCTAGTCGTCGTGTGGGAAAACATTTATAATTAAACAGTGAAAACGTTCGTGTATATAACTAGTCTGTTGTAATTATTTCTTGTATTGAATTCGCCTCTGTTAATAATGTTTTTAATGGGAACAGTCTTCAATAACAGTTGCTTACTATTAACAATCCTTAATGACAGCAAACGGTCTTTGAAAACAGTCATTAATAACACTTTGTACAGGACAACTCAATTGAATCTCTAACTGAAACACTTCTTTAGCCTAGCGGACATGATGCTGTTAAGTGCTTCTAGTGCAGTCGAGGATACCCGATCACCAGTAACAGATCTTTGCAAAGATTCCTCCAACGGATTTTGTGAAAGAACCCCTTCGCATTTCACAATGCAAAAGCAACTACCAGCAAATGGCACGCTGCCTATTCTTCAATATGCCAACTCCTGCAAGAGACATTCATACATGCAAGGGCAGACAATCGCGCCTATAGCAAGGGGTGGTAAATTTCAACGCTCTTGGTCTGTTGATTATAATTCAGTAAATGATGAACCATCTGTGCTACTCTACAATGAACCTAGTGATTTAACGTTTTATAGAAGGGATAAACCTATTGTTCAGACGGGTATTTCAGAGTCCGGTATCAGAAAACGAAGACCGGGACATTATAAGAATGATTACGTTTCAAATTTGCTTACCTCCCCTCATGATAGTTTGACGTCAGATGGGTATTTGGCTAATAATATCTCTAACCCAGATCATTATAGTGCCAAAGTCGAGATGGTTCAGGCTTCATCGCCTTGGACAGACCGGGCCGACCGCAAAGTTTCTGAGGAATTCGGGCTCTCTTCATCAAGTGATAAAAGCGTTGCTAATCGAGAGCCTTTTGTTATCAGACACAAAGTGTCTAATCAACGCCAGCATCTGAATGGTGCTACAATGCATTGTCATACTTTGGAAAATATACCAACGACTAAAATAAGTTTCACAAATTGTTCCAATGTCACTATGAACACTCCAGCACCCATCTTTAATGAATCTGGAGTTCTTATAGGCAATACCAAATTCAGCAAGGTTCTAAATGGAGATGACAAAGCCAAAATATCTCAGAAAATGAACTTTAGTGTTAACAGTGATATCTTTCATGATTCGAGTACCACCAGTGGACACAACAAAGCGGTAAGGAGCAGCTCGTATCCACTGAAAGTTTTACCAACAGCAGTTGACAACTCCCCAAACAGCAGGCGCCAGTCGGTACAGTCTTTCGACACATCGTTCCCTCGACGTGCACAAAACAGCGGCAGTCTGTCCGAAAATGAAAACCTGGAAACATCACAGAAAACTAACGTTTCTGGCACAGGTGGTGGCTTTCAACCTCCTACCATCAACAATGGACACACCAAAACAGCACGAAGTAGTTCATTTCCATTGAAAGTGCCGCCAGCAGCATTCAGTAACAACAACAGGCGCCAGTCGGTGCAGTCTTTCGACACATCCTTGTCACCACATTCACAAAACACTAGCGACGTAACTCAGTCTAATGGCGCACTCTCCTTCATCTCAATCTCTAATGTTAATACCATGATTCAAAACGGCAGCAGTAAGCATCACAACTTACAGCGAACTCTATCAGACGGTCCAAGATTTTGTGAGTTTGCTCAGATGCTAGTTAAATCGCCGGTCTTTGCTGGGATAGAATCCGAATATGTAACTTTGGATGAGCGTTATGAACTCCCGAAGCATTCCAGGATAAACCGGACAAAAGAAGCTACTGGTATCACTACTTCTAATGGAAGCATATTACGTCACTACCGTAATGGTTGTACAGAATCACCGAATGAAACACGCACATTGAAACTTAACAGTAACAGACCAGTTAAAGAACGCCCTGGCCATCCTTCTCATGAATTGTTAGTATCATCCAACGGCAAATACACAGTCGGCAATGATTTCCTTTTGCATTCTTCAAAAAGCAATCTGCTTTGGATGAATAGTACTGAAACACTCAGTTCCACCAAGTATGGTTCCAGGACAGCCAATGTTGGGACAGAAAGAGCTGGTTTAGTACCGTCTTCGCAGATTTCAAAAACCATCACCAGGATTGGTAAATACATAGAATGTGCGAATGGAGAACTTACATCAAAGACCGGTTTAACGAACAACATTACTGTTTGTAAAAGTGAGAACCGAAGTAAACTCAAGCGATGCAAATCATTACCCGATCTGCAAGACACTAGAAACGGGATTTTTGATTCCCACAGCAACTTTAGCGACGATGAGGACGGCGATGACTTTGGGTTTTTGAGTTATCCTATCTCATTCTCCTCTTCGTGTCCTTCTGCAGCTATGAACAAGGCCAAGTCGCCATCCCCTGCAGCGAGGATCTTCCCCAAGCGATGGAGGAGCAAGACCAAGGCCGTGCCTGCTGTGTCCAACTCTGTGGCTATGTGGAGCCCGGGACCTCCTGTAAGTACAGCATTCATGCGTGAAAGAATGAACAAGGTATCGGTGTGAGTTTGTTGCCGTTAGGCTCTTCGGGAATAACTTGTCTCTTCTTTTTCTTTTTTTTTTCTTTTTTTCTTCTTCTCCGCCTCCTCCTTCGCCTCCTCCTCCTCCTCTAGCGTCAGGTTTTTAAGACGCATCGGGTGCGGATTATGTTTAAAATTAAACCTCATTGTCTTGTTCTTGATGATCTTAAAACATCGCTGTAATGGTTCCCAGTCGCATTAGCATAGGAAGAAGAAGAAGAAGATAAAGAAGAAGAAGAAGAACAACAACAACAACAACAACAACAACAACAACAAGTGAAAGAAGAAGAAGAAGAAGAAGAAGAAGAAGAAGAAGAAGAAGAAGAAGAAGAAGAAGAAGAAGAAGAAGAAGAAGAAGAAAAAGAAGAAGAAGAAGAAGAAGAAGAGAACAAGAAGAAGAAGAAGAAAAGAAGAAGAAGAACAAGAACAAGAAGAAAAGAGAAGAAAAGGAAGAAAAGAAGAAGAAGAAGAAGAAGAAGAAGAAGAAGAAGAAGAAGAAGAAGAAGAAGAAGAAGAAGAAGAAATCGAGGAAGAGGAATAAAAATGAGAAGAAAACGAAAAGGTTCTGAAATATAAAAAGTAGAAGAAAGAGAAAGTAGAGGAGGGGATATGAAGAAGAGGAGGAGAGGAGGAAGAAGAAAAAGAAGAAGAAGAAGAAGAAGAAGAAGAAGAAGAAGAAGAAGAAGAAGAAGAAGAAGAAGAAGAAGAAGAAGAAGAAGAAGAAGAAGAAGAAGAAGAAGAAGAAGAAGAAGAAATCGAGGAAGAGGAATAAAAATGAGAAGAAAACGAAAAGGTTCTGAAATATAAAAAGTAGAAGAAAGAGAAAGTAGAGGAGTGGATATGAAGAAGAGGAGGAGAGGAGGAAGAAGAAAAAGAATAACAAGAACAAGAAGAACAAGAACAAGAAGAAGCTTAGAGTGAAAACAAGAAGGGAGAAAAACACAAATAACGAGAGTAAAATTAGTAGAATTTTTAAAAATTTAGAAAAACCCAAAATATACAGGTGAACGAGACATGACAACCCAACTACTACTACTACAGTGACTTGCCCCATATGTTTTATTGAAACCGTCAAAACTCACAGTTCACCTTCTGTTCCCGTTCTCATTTCCGCACCTTTTTCCGCCTGTATGTCAACCGGGCTAAATTTAAAGTCGCAAAACCTCATAAAACAAAAGGATTTGTAAATGCAACAGTTGCCTCAAGCAGCGCTGTTTTTTAAAACATTTTTTATACTTTAAATCCTTTGACAGTTTTCGTGACTTTTCGTTCAGGTAATATGAATACATTCGGTTGCTTGGCGGATTTAGAGGACGAAAATTGTCTTTGTCAAAAGGAAATCTCGTAAATAAATGAAACAATAGATTCACTTTTACGTGCGGTCTTCAAGATTCGTATCAATAGGTTTTTACGAGGTAACATCCTCTTTCCGTGTACATGCAAATAGACAAAATGGAGGAAGGTGTTTTTGTGCAATGAAAAATATCGCAATGATTTTAGTGTTCTTTTCACAACTTAGTGTATTTTGTTTTGTTTGCATAAACTCAAAACGTGGCTTTCTAAAGTGACACATTTTTGTTGCTTTCTTTCATTCTTTATACTTGAATTTTCGTTGCAATGTGGGTTGTTTTATGACAATGAAAGCCACATGCACCGTCCTTGAAAAAGTCTCTTCAAACAGAATACCAAAAAAAAACCTTTACGTTCTGAAGACGTAATCGTCTGGTGACATTGATCATTAGTTTTCACAGACTTGCTCGCGTAGATTTAACGTCGTTTAGAATTTGAAGGGATATCTTTAACGCAATGACTCATATTCTTCTTCTTCTTCTTCTTCTTCTTCTTCTTCTTCTTCTTCTTCTTCTTCTTCTTCTTCCTCTTCCTTTTCTTCCACTTCTACTGTTACTACTACTGCTGCTGCTTCTGTTGTTGTTGCTGCTGGTGTTTTTACTACTACTTCTTCTTATTCTTCTGCTACTACTTCTACCTTCTTCTCTCTTCTTCTTCTTCTTATTATTACTATTACTATTATGCTTATTATTATACTGCTGCTGCTGCTGTTGTTGCTGCTGCTGTTATAACTACTGCTTCGTCTTATTCTTCCGCCACTACTACCACTACTACAACCACTACTACGAATGCTTCTTCTTCTTCATCGTCTTCTTCTCTTCTTTTTTTTTTCTTTTTCTTATTTTTCTTCTCCTTTTTTTTTTCTTCTACTATTACTACTAAGTCGATGCGAACGCTTCGTAATGCCGGGATGCCGGGTTCGATCCCATCTGCGGGCCATGCGCCTGGCGTTGGTTTCGACACTGGTATTAAGAAAGCCGACCGTCCAGTAGGCAATGGCAAACTACTGGACTTATATTTGCCTAGAAAAACCACACAACAGCCAGGGACTGTTGGGGTTGGTTCTGCAACGTCCTGTAAAGGATACGCAACTAACCTTAACTATTACGACTACTACTACTACTACTACTACTACTACTACTACTACTACTACTACTACTACTACTACTACTACTACTACTACTATTGCTGCTGCTGCTGCTACTACTACTACTATTGGTAGTGTTGCTGCTGCTGCTACTGCTACTCTTTTAATTATTTTCTTCTACTTCTCCATCTTCTCCTCCCCCTCTCCGAACAGAGCATAGACCCTTAGCTGCCCGTGTCAAGCCGTTTGCCGAGTTGTTTGGTATTAGTTACAAATTTGCAATGAAGCATTTCATACGTTAGAGCAGCTGTATCAAGTAAGCTTCCTTTGTCGCTTTGTACGACATGTATGCCAGGTGTCATCATCATCATCATCGCTAGCATATGCCCTGTTTTTAAACACATCAGCAGTCCGGTTTCGCCACTTCACACGATGACTAGAATCACTGATCAGCTCACGGCTCTTGTCTTACCAAGCTGACAGCCATATTTTCAAGCCTTGCCGCTCCCATCCAGATTCCATTGTAACCGATTTCTTCTAGCCCGTTAGGACCTTCAGCTGCACGGACGGACGGACACACACACACACACACACACACACACACACATGAACATATACACACACAAACGTATACACAATAGCGGGGGCGCCAAACAAAAACGTTTGGGTGCATGGAATGGAAAGAGAGGAGGGGTGGCCTCAATCTCTCTATCAATTGTCTCAAGAGGGAAAAGGTGGCAAGGAGCCTTGGACTTATTTATGTGCGTAAGAGTAACATGCTAAATGATACATCAATATAGATAACATTACATACATTTAAAAAATACTTTAAAACCTAACACAAACACTTTGTGTGTGTGTGTGTGTAAAGTATCTACTACTAAGAGATAATGGGAAAGTACCGAAGGCAATAACAACACATGATTGCGATGTAAGACAGGAAACACATTCTATTTTCCGTGGAAAGTGCAAGAGACGTATAGTGATTTGACTGGTAGCGAAAGAGTTCATCAATAAGACTTTGCCAAGTTCTACACACAACAACTCTCTTTGGCTGATCTACGGTTACTGGAGCTCTTACGCTGGGGGCTTAGTCTTGGCAGTAAGCTGGAGGGAGGAACTGGCAGGATTAGGCTGAGTCATGTCTAGCATGTAAAGGCTATGGAACTTGGGCGTCAAACACTTTAGCCCCCCGCCCCCCCCCCACCCCCGCAGAGAAATCGACAGGAGGTTAAGCGACCTCAGTATTCCTGACAGATGCAAAAGCTGCAGCCAGGTATACAGACATTACTATCTGAACTAGGCAGCCGTTGTAAGGTAGTTATGCAGTGGACACCATCCCATTGTGGAGTTCCTGGAAATGAAAGAACTGATAAACTAGCCGAGGAAGGTGCAACTGAAGAACAATCCGACGTTCCAGCCTCTTATTAGCGGAAGATGAAAATAATCAAATCAACCAGAAAGCCATCAAAACTGGCAAAAGACGATTACCATATTTTGGACAGACCAGCGAAGGTAATTATTCTACGCCTTAGAACAGGACAGAATCAACTTTTGCAGCCACATGTACACAAAATGTTTAATTGGCGAATCAGCCATGTACACGACTGGCACCTGCGAGAACTGATCACATCCTCCAAGATTGTCCCAAACAGAACGTTTCCAGACAACAGTTTTGGCCAAGAGAGACACTAGTGGAAGCCAAACTTTACGAGCCACTAAGTGAATTACACAAGACACACGAAGTTCATACTAGAGACAGCACTGCAGATATGGATAATGTATTTCAAGAAAAAAGAAGAATGTGTAATTGTTTTTGGAATCACACACTGCGGCCATGGCGAGTCGCTTGGTTCAGAAAGAGTTAAAGCAGTGTTTCTTAGCGTGGGGTCCAGTCCCCTCATCGGAGCAGTTAGATTTTCAAGGGGGCAGTTCGAAAAGGAACTCGTCCAGAGTTTAAGTTAGGCGGGGAGGGCGGGGGGCATAATCATTTTAGAAAGGCTTAGGTGGGGCATACACACACACAAGCACACACACACACACACACACACACACACACACACACGCCAGGTTGGGAAACACAGAGTTTACAGCTCTGACCGCCACTCCTCTTGTCTGAGACTAGAGGGTTAAAGAGAGCTAATTACCTGCAGTCATTTTCGTTAACTGAGCCTAGACAGGGCTAGATTTAATAAGGAAGTCATATTTGCATGTGTCAACCAAAGTGGGCATATATTATCAACAGGGGGGAACTAACAGACACTTGTAGGACGGAACCTAGGTCGCAGTGTCCTTCTTAGGCAGACCCGGTTCGTCCAAAAGTTTAAGCAGGATTTATACAAAATAAGTTTACAAAATCAACCACACACACACAAAAGAGAAGAAGAGAAGTAGAACTCAACAACTACAACCTTCTATTGTGTCGCTATACGTCAATAAGGTTACAGTCCAGTCCTCAGAATGGACAAGGGCTCCCAGATCCACCTAGCCTCGTTATGGTA